CAAAAGATTACCATCACCAACGACAAGGGTAGATTATCCAAAGAAGATATCGAAAGAATGGTTAACGAAGCTGAAAAGTATAAGGAAGACGATGAAAAGGAAGCCGCTAGAGTTCAAGCCAAGAACCAATTGGAATCATATGCCTACTCATTGAAGAATACCATCAATGATGGAGAATTGAAGGACAAGATTTCCGCTGAAGATAAGGAGAAATTGTCCAAGGCTGTTGACGAAACTGTTACCTGGTTGGATGGATCCCACTCTGCCTCTACTGAAGAGTACACCGACAAACAAAAGGAGTTGGAGTCAATTGCTAACCCAATTATTAGTGGAGCTTATGGCGGTGCTGCTGGTGGTGCCCCAGGTGCTGGCGCTGGAGGATTCCCTGGTGGAGCTCCAGGTGGAGGGGCTGCCCCAGGAGCCGGCGGTGATGCTGGTGGTCCAACCGTGGAAGAAGTTGACTAAATGTAGTAGAGAGAGAGAGAGAGAGACGGAATGGAAAGTACATACAATGTATGATTCTGTATAAAATTATAAATTGAACCTGCTTTTATTGACGTGTAAATTCAATTAGTAGACAGAGTAGGCAAGTGATTGACCAATTAGCAATCAAGAATCTCCCGACCTTCTTATTTAAGCTCCAGTCATTCTTGGGAATCATCACGCAAAGAATTGCCATATTACTAAACAAAGTAACAAGTCCAATAAGAAGCGTTGGTGTTAATCGCACAGCGTGATTTCCATCCGCTATCAATCCGCTGAGTCCAAAGGAGCACAATGCCATCAAGGGGCTGCCGAAACAAGCGGCAAATGCCATAATCGGATACCCCATCTTGGCAATGGTGTAATTGGTGACGAAATCTCCGACAGAGTTGCCCAACGCGAAAAGCGTGATGCCTAATACATCATCACTTAGGCGATATGCAGTGGATATCACTTGCAAGATGTTGATAATCTCGGCTGCTATGAGTGATATCCACGATAATGATATGACGAGACCTAGAATGGAGGTGATGTAGTTGATTGCGGTCATTCGTTGTGGGAAGTGGTCTGATGATGGGATGGGATATAATTTGTATACAGCTTGACCGAAACCGACACTGATGATGGAGTAAATTGTGATTTTCCAAACCCACGAAACACTTGTATTAGCCAGAAGTAGAATAAAGCATCCAATACCGGTTTGGATCGTGAGTCGTAATTTCTCTTTGGTATAGTTGAATGCATTGTGAGCTGTGTTTGGTTTGAAATCTTGTTCTATTGTAAGCATACTAGTGTGGTGTCTGACTGGAGTTGATATTTTCAAAGTTAATGATACGGGAAGTAAGAGCAAGTGTTTGAGTTTTGCACCAGGGTGACACTCTTTGAAATTTGAGAGCTGGGGGCAAAACAAATCAACTAACCGGGAAAAGGGTGTAACCCGGCTTTCATATGTGGCGCCATCTCCTTCTTCTTGTTCCATCCCCTCGACTGGCGTTGACAACAATTGTCTTTCCGTGTCCAACTGAATAGATCCACCCAAGTTGGAATGGGCGGATAAATCCTCCATCAATTTTCGTAACCCAAAGGTCCCCGTTGCATTGGTGGTGTCCCCCGTTGCAGTTGCACCTCCGATATTCACGTCATCAATAGTAGGCAACTGTGATATCCCATCGAGGTACACTTCATCAATCGCCACCTCATCATCGGCACTATCTCCAAACTCGCCTCTCGATCTCCGATCTCGTAGAATGGCATTGACGCGGGATTGCTGCATCTTATGCGAATAAATCGCCACGGCCACATAGAACACATAAACGCCAACCAACACAACAGATACAACTCTAGTCAATTGGCCAATCAATGCGCTCACCAGTATCAACGTGTATATAGTACAATACGTTGCCACATCTCGTGTAAATAACCATCGCGGTACTTGGAAAGGTTGTACTACACCAATGCATCCAATGACGCAGGTGCTGATGAATAACGAGGCGCCAATCAATTCCGCCAATGCTAGTTGAATCAGACCGGCTTTGATGGCTTCATACGTTCCGAATATGTCAGGGGCACTATTACCAAATGCCAAGATCGTCAACCCGGCTAAATTGTCGGGGATTTTGAGATATGATTTGGATATGGTGTGTAAGTTGGGACACAAGAATTCCAGCGCCGTGAGACCTAGTGAGAGGAACATGTAGGCTAGTGATATGAGTAGTGGGATCAATGCAAATGATTGGAGATTTTGAAAGTCGCAGTAGTATAAGTTGTAGTAGTTGAGTATGCCATGGTTGTTGGCGTTGCAATTGTCCTTGGCGTATTGGCATTGTAGATTGAGTGGTTGGGTTGTGATTAGAGAACAATTGGAGTGCGGGCTGGATAGGGGTGATATTATGTCTCTTGAGTTGAGTGCATTGCTTGACAATAAGGTGGCTATGGCACTTTGGAAGAGTAGTAGTAGCGATAGATATAGCGATAGGTATCTCATGTGAGTTGGTTGAAAGAGATGATCTAAGGAATTTATTGTGTGTTTCTGCAATTTTCATCGGTCACGTTCAAACACATCGGGTTTAAGAAAGCTCAGCAATACTCTCAGAGAATGGTCACCTTAATAGCGAGATCTTCACCAAATACACAGTCCCACCATGTCGCCGCACTACTCTATCTCACTACACTAATCTATACAAGAAAAAGAAATCCTCTTCTTTAAAAAAAAAAAATAAATGTACCATTGATCCTTGCACCATCCCCCATACGGACGCACGAAGGCAGTTCCTTAGAAGCGAAAACAACAAGTTTTGCTCGACACATGGGATGCTGCACCCAAGATCAATTGTTGTGCAAGTTTATTCTCCAGTCCATCGCTAAAAGGAGAAAAAAGTTGGGAGAATTGAAAATTTGTAAAAATCTCAAACTCTCCCAGTTCTTTTTTCACCTTACAACTATATCCGAAATGGTCATGGGTCAAGAATGCCACGATGGGATTCAACCTCTAAAGAATGCTTTAACGTTGTGGATGGCTGTGGATTTTTGCGTTAAAGAAGAAGAAGAAGAAAAGAAGAGAAGGAAAAGCAGAGAAGGAAAAGAGGAGATTTTTCATTTGGGTGAAAAATTTATACGCAGTTTTGGGCGATGCATCTCTTGATGTTTGATGCACGACCTTTATTTTTTGAGGAAGAGATGGCTGTTAACCGTACCTACATTCACATATGTTGTAGATTAATGATTCTTTACTCAAGGTGATCTTTATTCATGACTCATTGTTATTGATCCTATTTACAGGGGAGCGGGTCACTTCTCTAATCGATAGACGCTAATGCAGATTACTATGCAGATTGCTATGCAGACTGCAATGCCCATCGGTCGTAGCCATGCCTTTAATTGTTGTTTTCAATTTTGGCCAAGATCTCCTTATCAGTGTACAACAAATACTCCTCTTCGCCAACCTTGACTGGATTACCACCAAATGAAGGTAACAAAACTTGATCACCAGCCTTGACTGAAACTGGAATAACTTCACCGGTATTAGTGTTAGTCATACCTGGACCAACAGAGATAACCACACCTTGATTCAATTTCTCTTGGTTCTTCTCTGGGATGTAAAGTCCACTAGCAGTCTTGTTCGATGGCTTTAATCTTTGGACCAAGACTCTATCAAATAATGGTTTCAAAGCTTGAGCTGATTTCAAAAGGGTTGACTAGTTGAAGGGGAGGGGGTTGTTAATATACTCGATTGCGCTCATAGTACTGGCTCAAGTGATTCTGATACATACCATTACGATGTGTGTATTAAAACGATGCTTGGTGATTGATACTTGGAGTGATATGTTATTTAGAAAGGTAAATTTTCTCGAAGCTCATGGAATTTTTCAGTCTATTTATACACGCATACAAACACACACACACGACTTTTCTTAATATACTAGCGACTAGCTTAAATATTTATCCAATGGCTCTCCCAATATCTTCTCAATAACTCTAACCAATCCTTCTCTCACTTCCAATTCAACATGTTCATCTTCATCCTCTAATAACTCTGCAATATGGGGGACCAACCTAGGTAAATAAGGTAACCACAGCTCACCCATTTTTTGGAAAATTGTCTTGAGTGCACGTACGGTCCAGATTTTAGTATTGGAGGTGTTTTCATTGTCGTAGGAGATATACTTGATCAAGGATTTCAAAACACGCTCGTTGTATTCGTTTGAAGTGACATCGGAAACGAGGGCACTGATTGCTTTTACCAAGTATTTGCCAATTGACTCTTCAATGTTACTCAATTGATTCAACAATGGATTAGCAATGCTTTCAAATCTTCCCTCTTGCGACCAGTACTCATCTTGATCATAATTAAATGAAGATGTCAAAGAGATCAATACAATTCTGCGAAGATTGGTGTCTTTGATAGCGCGACTAGCAAAATCGCCAAGAATAGATGAAGTTGTATCAATCAAGTAGGAGTAGTAGGATGTGACGATGCTCTTTAATTGATCCTGCAACTTGTTAAAGAAACGGTAAAATGACAATAGCCTGGAGGTTAACTTGATCTCCAAGGTGCTTCCTTCTCCAGTTGTTGCCCAGCGCACCAAGTTGGCAAACAATGGACGGAAGCTTTTGTCGTTAAGCTTCATAACAATTGAAATGGCACATGAGTGGAACGAACTTTCGATTCTGCCAATGGTGTTGTCATCAAATTTATCACCCTCAAGGTGGGAGTACTCCCTGAACTCAAAGGCGTGTATCAACAACTTGAAAAACAATGAAGCTTGTTGCGTCGCTTCTTTCTTTTCCAACTTATCAATGGTTGATTCCAAAGTATTCAAGTATAATCCAATACTTGCTGCATTGTCAGTCTTGAAGAAATCTTTGTTGAACCAGATATTACATAATGATTTCAACACTAATCCGGCTTCCATATGATTGATGACCAAGTTCAATACAGCTGACTTGATCAGGTTTTCTGTCAAGGCACTGGCCAATGTCGTTAGCAAGATGGAGTCCAAGGTTGTGACCATGAATGCGGGCATTTTCTTGATATAACTAGAAAGCAACAATAAAACCGATTCCTGCACCAATCTAGACCCTTCGTTATCGGATTCATTGGTTGTCTCCCAGATTTTTAACGATGGTGGAATAATTTTAGGGAAAATGCCCAATGTCTTTACTCCAAAAATGTTAACCATACTGATGATAGCGTTGATGGCAGCAACAACAACCTCCGATTGAGAGTTCAATAACCCGCAGTCTGTAGTAAAGACATTCAATGACTCCAACATAAATTTGGACATGTCCTCAACAATAAAGTCTGCATTTGAAGCACCAACTTTACGAGTCACCACAGCAAATGTATTCAAATAAGCTTGTTGCAATTCTGGATCAATATTTTTGCCAATTCCCTTAATCAAAACACCGAGCAATTTTTCAATAATGGATTCGCCAATCTTGGTGTATGCATCAAAAGTAATCTCCTCTTCAAATTTGCTAGCAGAAAGGACAGCATAGTTTTTGGCCACTTTAATCGATGCAGTGTCGCTTAACTTGTCAATATCCAAAAATTCAGCAATGGAGTCAACGAAATTGACCAAGGGCAACAAGCCAAACAAGTTGGTCAAAATATCATACAACGCTGAAGAAATCTGCTTATTGGGAATTGCATTGGAAAAAGTTTCGAGCTCGGATAAAATGTAGCTGGTAAGTTCTCTGAAATTGTCCAAAATTTGCTGCTTCTCCATTCCATCATCACTATCGAGCAACACCAAAGCAATCTTGCTCTTGAGAGACAAAACATCATATCTGGATGAATCAAGGCGCAAAATTATGTCAAAGTATTCGAAGAGAGAGCCTCTCAATCTCAAGAATTCAACATCGGTGAGTCCAACAATAGCACTACCATAAATTGGTCGTACTTTTAAAGAATCGTAGTCGCTGGAATCAGGTTCCAATTGCTTCACAGGAAGCTGTTTCACCAATTGATTAAACTTTACAAATCCAATCAACTGTTCTTCGGCTGAGAATGATTTCAAGTATTGTTCAACAAACTCGACAATTGCTTCGGATTCGACCAACTTCTTCTTTTGATTAAGTTCAACAAACTGCTGACCCAACAAGAATAAAATAATGTGCATTGAATCCGAGCATCCCAAAGTCTGAGTCAACGCAACAAAAAGCTTAACTCTACGATGTGTAGGGACATGGTTAAATGCAGCACTGAAACTGGTCAACAAGAATTCAATTTCAGAGCCAATGGATTCCGATGAGTTAGCCGCTAATGCAGGAACAACCTTGGCAACAGTTTGTTGCAAAGCATTGTTTGAGAATTCGTCATCTTGCCTAATAGTGTGAGCTCCCATAAATGTAAATATTGGCATAATTGAATGCAATATAATTTCTGGTGCCAATGCAGCCAACTCTGAAATAACCAACAATAACCTGTTCTGCACTTGAGGTGAGCTCGAGTTTCGGATGGAGTTGACAATCAAGTCAGCTCTAATGGAATTGGAATCGAATTTGTGGTCTCCTTTGTTATTCTTCAAATTGGTGATGTCCAAAAGCATACATGAAGCCAAAAGCTCCTGCGTGTACAAAACAGGCAAGTTCCCGTCGTTGCCCAAATAATCCAAATCTGTCAAAATATTGAACAACACTTTTAACAACTTTGGATCAGCAAAGTTGTCATCTTTTCTAAACTTGGTTTCTAAAGCCTCCAACAAGATAGCCAATTTTCTAATGTGTAGCGCTGCCAAACTCGTGACATCATCTTTTGCCATCGCTTGCTTGGTTGAATTGGATGACCTTCTTCTACGCTTTACAACGCCTTGTTCTGGTGATTTTTCTCCAATTTGAATGTTCTCCAACGCTTGTAAGAATATTGCCGAGCTCAACTGGAGTTCTTGTAAACTCAACATAGGATCAAATGGGACATACTCGTCGTTGACTAATAGTTCAATCAACTTGTTGACAATTTGCAATTGAGCTTCCGTTGGGAATAGATCAAATACATCCTTGATGCGAGCCTCCACAACTTCCAGAATCTGCGACTCTGGCTCCAAGCCCTTGACTAGCCATTCAGATTCTCTTGCTGTTGTCTCGTTTGAGATTTTCTTGCCGCCAACCAATCCCACCAACGATTCATCAATCGGGACAAAGTTTTCGATCCCAAACTCTCTTGCTTGTTGTTGCCATTCGGACCTGCGTTGCACATACAGCTGCACGTCAGTATTCCAAAAGAACAACCTTTCGTCACCACCACCAAGCTTATTCAATTCACTTGCTATTTTCCAAATGCGTCTTTTGAAAACAACAGGTAAGTGACCGAGTGCCCATTGTGAAAGAATAAATGTTTTGTACACCGCACCCAAGCTCTTTTTGCCGTGCTTGACTCGGAAACTTGAGTTGACCAATTGTAACAATTTTGATGGGTCAAAAACTGCATCGTCTAAGTTGCTTCCTTCTGTGACGTGATTGAAAAGCGTCAATGCGTCCTGAGGTGAAATCATCTTCTTTTCTTCTGCTGAAGTGTAAATTGAATCCTCCATGAATAAAGATGTCTTGACCTTCTTTTTACCGGAATGTACCTCTCTTGAAATGGAAGCGATGGTTGTTATGATTTGTGAAATTGCCATACGCTCTCCTCTAGCTTCTGTACTGAGACCCACCAAGAGTAAAGGCACCAACAAGTAAAAATCCGTGTTGTTGTTTGCCGACTCTTTGACCTTTGAAGTAATGGCCTTGAGTGTATTGATTCTGATGCTGGGCGGGACAGATGGAGTGTACGATGTACGAAGTAAGAATGACAAGGCAGTCTCTGCTGACTTGAACACCTTGTGGCAAAACACTAATATTCTTGACTTTTGTGATGAAACTTTTGACAAAGAGCACAATGTCAATAACGACTTCAACACCGATTTAAACTCCATGTCGCTCCTAGATGACAAATATGTGTCTGCGTGAACAGTCACCGATTCGTATTTAAATTTCTCAACTTCTTCTTGTGCCTCCTCAACATCATCATCCTCATTCACGACGATGTGTTCTTCTTCAGCCGCCGTATCGGCAACGGTGGACTGCAACCTGAGTTCTATGTCAGCAATCTCTAAGCTCTTCTTTACGAGTGCAGCGTAGAATTGAGCTTCGGCTCTTTTGACGATATATTTAACAATATCAACAATTAATAATCTTGCAGTCTCTTCTAAGACGGTATTTGAGGCAATGAAATTCACAACTTCCGAAATGACAGTGTTGGAAAATTCGGAATTTTTAAGATCAATGAGTTCAAGTAGCTGAAGAGATTCCTTTGCTGGAAATCTGGAGACAAAATAACACGCTGCAAATCTGTCAACTTTAAACTTTCTCTCCTTCAAATCTCTCAAAATGTCGAGTCTCTCAGAGTTCAATTGAAAGTGAATAAATGTGTCGTGGTTCACTTCAAAATCTTTGTTTGCGTTCCACAATTGTACAAGTAAGGTCAACGTGGGCTTGATCAAAGTTCCAGAAACGCATTCCTTATCGTCACATATAGTTACCGTCAATGAATTAATAACCTTAGTATTCAAAGAAACGATGGAAGAAATTACTGACAATACGGAAAAAGCAGTAAGCTTGAGATCGGAGTTTTGTACCTGAGAACCAGTGCCCTGATGACTGAGTAACAAATCAACAGTCTCCAAAATGGCAGGAATTAGATAATCATTCAATCTCTCCTGATTCTTGGACGATGACGCAAGAATTTGTATGGTTACCGATAAGTAAAACACCAACTGATCTTTGTAAACTGTGCCATTCTTGATCAGATCATTCAAAAACGATGTATAAAATTTGAACAATGCTCCATCACTGTAAAAAGCTCTGAATATCGATTGTAAAGTGGGAGGTTTCAACTGTTCCTTGAAGATACCAAGCCACTCAAAAATCTTTGGGATATTCTGTTTGGGAATTACATTCAAGACTTTGACAAATACTGGTTGTTGATAATATGGCAAAACTGACAATACCATATGCTCTGCATTGTGGATGTTTGCTTGGAATCTTCTGACTAACCATTCACTGGCAGTAAGAGCAGCAGTAAAATTGTAATAAGGACCCAACAACGTAAAAAACGCATTGATGTTGGTATTGATTTGTTGAATAACATCTTCCGTTTGCACATTCCTGTCAAAATTGATAGAGTCAGTTGCAAACAATGATGTTTTGAATTTGGCAAATCTCGAATCCAAATCGCACAACTCATCTAGCCCATCGGTGGAAATTTGATGGATATATTCGTAATCTTGTGTTGCTGCAACTTTGGGCTCAAAGATCAAAGAACGGGAGTGTAATTTTGATCTTTGTTGTCTGTTCAACGCAACGGACGAAGTCTTTTCGTTGATTGACTTCAACTGCGAAGCTAAACTAGACATTGTAGCTGGGGATGTAGCAAAAGATGTAGTCTGGTGTAAGAGCTGTTTTGAAGAGACGCTATTTTAATGTTTTAATTTTTTTTTTTTTTTTTTTTTTTTTTTTTTTTTTTTTTTTTTTTTTTTT